AAACAATGTTACGGAAAAATGCAGGATTGAAGAAATGAAAATATTTTCGCACAAGCAAGGAAAGAAGGTATGATCAAATAGAAATTCAAATAAACATGAAAGGAAAAAAAAACATTAGCTAAGGATGGTTTAACCCCTTACATGTGTTGAATGATGTAGAACATATGTAGACAGATATAAACATTTTTAAGAGCAAAGTTATTGCGCATAAAAACGGCAGACCACATTTAGAAAATGTCAGGGCTAGGGATATTTTATGTCCATTGTTTCATGAAAATAGTTCCAACATTTCTAAAAGAAATGCCGCAAATTATTTCAAAGGTCAATGACGACTTTCAAATTTTTTTCTGAGTGTTCAGAACTTACACTTCTTAAAGAACATACCCTCCGGTGTTTAAAAGTTTTTAACTNCAATAATAATATGATTAGTAGTACACTAAACAATAATAAAAGGATTTGCAGTACACTAAACAATAATAATATGATTAGCAGTACATTAAACAATAATAAAAGGATTTTCAGTACATTAAACAATAATAATATGATTAGTAGTACACTAAACAATAATAAAAGGATTTGCAGTACACTAAACAATAATAATATGATTAGCAGTACATTAAACAATAATAAAAGGATTTTCAGTACATTAAACAATAATAATATGATTAGTAGTACACTAAACAATAATAAAAGGATTTGCAGTACACTAAACAATAATAATATGATTAGCAGTACATTAAACAATAATAAAAGGATTTTCAGTACATTAAACAATAATAATATGATTAGTAGTACACTAAACAATAATAAAAGGATTTGCAGTACACTAAACAATAATAATATGATTAGCAGTACATTAAACAATAATAAAAGGATTTTCAGTACATTAAACAATAATAATATGATTAGTAGTACACTAAACAATAATAAAAGGATTTGCAGTACACTAAACAATAATAATATGATTAGCAGTACATTAAACAATAATAAAAGGATTTTCAGTACATTAAACAATAATAATATGATTAGTAGTACACTAAACAATAATAAAAGGATTTGCAGTACACTAAACAATAATAAAAGGATTAGCAGTACACTAAACAATAAAAAAAGGATTTGCAGTACACTAAACAATAATAATAGGATCTTCAGTTTAAAGAAACAAAAACTTGGATTTCTAATTCATACTATATCAGTCAAATGTTTAAAGGGTACCGTTTTAAATCGGGCATTACCATCTTTGCATGGAGATTATAGGGTCACTTGAAACTAAGTTAACAGTCGGAAACAATGTTAAAAATTCTACCAAACCAAATGCACTGAGCAATGCAAACTACAGTTCAAACAAAAGTACAAAGAATTTATTGTTATTTAATCCAACATTTTATTAAACATTAAAACATTTGATTTCTAAAATTTAGAATTCCAAGATTTTGGTTGAAACTCTAGATTTTCTTGACTAGAGATTCCAATAGTAAATTTGAACAAGAATAATACTGAAGGATATATTTGGTGTATTTACTTTGAAACTTCTTAATTTATAAGAATTGATCTAATTGTAGAATTGATCTAATTGTAGAATTAATCGTTCAACTTGTTCTGAATGCAAGATCGAAAGAAAAAAATAATAACCCATTATTTAATGATTATTTGAGCTCCAGATTAATTAGTAAACCCTATAAGGAACAATCCACATCTATCAATTTTTCAGACGTACTTTCGGCATTCTTAAAAAGCCTTCCTAGCACCACTTTGAGCCGCGGTTTAAATTTAAGTCGCGGCTCAAATATGGTTTGTTCCAATTCAAATTGTATTCAATGTTTCAAGATTTGAGTTGGCGTTCAATTGAAACCGGTTTTTGGCGGATTTAAGACGCGGCTCAAATTCATTAAATTCGGACTCTGACCTCCAAAATTAAACTATGAACTTTTTTTATTTGCAAATCCATATCTTCACTTGTCAGACGCTCCCTCTCATTCATTAATAAATAAACTCCCAAGCTTTTTTTATAGCTAAGAATATACAACACTGAAAGAAAATAAATGTAGAAGAAAGAAATTAAAATGTAAATATAAATGCAATCTGAACATTAGATTGTGCATCCACGTACAAGATAAATAAAATAACGTAAAAGCAAAATATAGCCCAACTAAAAAAAATTGAAATAATACAGAAACTGATAATTTTACATGTAATTTACATAGTATCAGAGCAAACTTTTAGCTACATCCTACCAATACTTCTCTAAAATAAAAAATTACTTCATCCATTAGTCATAAAATATTTGTGAGCAAATGTAAAACAAAAATATATCCTTATTAATTTGATTAGCTATAAATACACATTTCTAAGAATGTTTGAACTTTAAATCCAATACAGTGATAAGCAGAAAACTTTGAAATAGAAAGATGACTTTAAAACTCAAGTGATGACTTTGAATAGTACAATTAACTTGGGTTGGAGGGACACAGCAATTGTGCAGTATAAGCAAAAGTGATTAAATAAGTGTCTAGTAAAGTTGGCTCCCTACTTCAGAGTTTTCTGGTTATCACTGTAGTTGAATTAGTTTTTGGTATAAAATTATCATTTTTATTATTCAGAGTTTTTAAAGAAAAAGCTAGATTCTCTTCCTTGTTAGACTAAGTCACCGAATGCTTTCAGATGATATCAAAAAACAGTTATTCCAAGAATAATTTCAGTTCCCTGCGTTGGTTCAGCCCCCCCCCCCTATCAAATTAGAGTTTTAGGGACGTCCTACACCCACACGGCAAGACTGACAATATTAAATCATGTGATGAGAGGTCTTATGATTCGTACCCTATTCGTATATTTTACTTAAAATTTTGGCTAGAACATGGTGAGCCCCCCCCCTTGACAAAATCCTGTATACGCCCCTGATCCAATAAATGTTTATGTTCTCAGTATAAATTAAGAAGGACAACTGCAGAGCAAATTGAAATAATACAATTGCAAGTGCAGTGCTTAACAATATCTAGATGCCATGGTAACTGACCTCGAGGAAACCGACCTAAAGGGTTTTCAAACAATTTATCCAGTAGTTTTAGAGAAAATATCGAGTAGTTTGAACTAACTACGATTTAACATTTTTTATCAATTCCACATTAAAACTACTGAGTGTCCCACGGAACATGACCTAGCTGGTCTGACTTGAGGGTCGTCTTTAATCTAAAAAATAATTTCCGGCATTCGTTCGTCAATCAATATAATACATGTGGGATTCTTGAATCAAATGTCACATAATTTCCTAGCCCTGGAAATTCCCAAAAGTGGTCTATCTTTTGTGGGCTTTTAATATTTCAGACCAAGGTGTTTAATTTTGTGATTACAAGTTTAAGAAATATAATTTTAAAATAAGGTTTACGAGTAAATGCCGCAATTTACTTTCTCAACTTCATACAACTCCACCTATCCAGCTTAACCCGTCCTCAGGGGCGGATACAGGGGGGGGCGTGGGGACATTCGCCACCCCCTGACAGATTCAGGGAGGGGCGTAGCCCCCCCTGAGATTTTAAATGTTCCAAATTTGATAAATCACATGTGTTTTTCAATTTCAAGCTATTTGATTATTTTTTATTTAATGGAAATATAATAATTAATATCTATTGAAAAATTGAATCATCAGAAGGACGAAAAAAATACTTTTCTAGCTTGTTCAAAATAAATATAACCAACGATGTAAGTATAGGACGACATTGTGTTTTGTTTTATTGGTGTTAATACACGGCACACTGCACATCTTGACTTTCTTTTCTTCAGTTTAATTTAAAAATCAACGACAAGTAATGTTATTGTTAACGATAAATTTAGAATTAGAGTTAAGCCATTTGCCTTGTAACAACATCGAATGCACTTGAGTATTGCTTTAATGTCGTCTTCCTATTCTACAGTTTTCTGGTTATCCTCTAGTATATACAGTAAAGCTTGCATACGGTACAGGAAACAAAGTAAATTGTACAATTTACATGTGTAAACAGCCCACAGTAAACTGTACAATCAACAATTTACATTGTACATGTACTGCACAATGTATATGTATTTGCCGCATACAATACAAATGATGAATTGTACGATGTACATGTATAAACTTCCCAGGGTACTGATAAAAATGTACAAAGTACAATGTTCATGTATTTGGTACAGTACAGTAAAAAATGTAACATATACTCTCAGACAAACTAGAATCAATGGAAATTTAATCCCCCGACAATTTTACATTCCTTTGTAAAATTAAATAAATTAAAATTAAAATATTAAATCGATTAAAAGGGGCAGGATTAAATGAAAATTGTTGCATACCAAAAACCAGCTTTTTATAAAGGAATGTACAATGTACATTGTACACGCATTCACTGAACACGGTATAGTGAACAATGTACATTCCTTTATAAAAAGCTGGTTTTTTGGTTTGCAACAATTTTCATTTAATTTCATTTTAAAAATAATAATAAAGAATAAAAATAATTTGTTTTTTTTTTACAAAAGGATGTCATTTATTCTCTGACAAATTAGAAGCAATGGAAATTTAAACCCCCGAGGGATTCAATGATAAACCCGAGGGCGCAGGTAAATGATACATTGTACGTTGCATTGCGCAAAATACATGCTCACATTAAATTTTTTAAATAAAATTTTTCAATTTTTTTTGACAGGAACTGGCAACCAATTCACTGAACAATTAAAGGGGATAGAATTACAATTGGTTTTCGATATGATGTAATACAATAAAGAAAGAAATTAAGCAATGCTACACCTACAGCTGATTTTCATATTGCTTTAAAAAATACAAGATTCATGAAATTGTACAGGGTTCCCCACAAAGGATGAGGCTTCGGAGACGACTTTTATACTTTCTTGTTATTTTCCTCAGCTCATTTGATAAATCCTTGAAGACTATTTTCAAATCCATATTTAACCTTCAAATCGACATTTTAGTCTTATCCTGTGTTGGTTGGTATTTAACTACCTGCCCCATGCTATTTAGCTTGAGTGTACAGTAGTTAACTACCTGCCCCATGCTATTTAGCTTGAGTGTACAGTAGTTAACTACCTGCCCCATGCTATTTAGCTTGAGTGTACAGACAGTTTACTGATAAAGGATGTAAGAGTATATTCTAAGTAATAATACAGTACAAACATCAAATATGCAGTAGGCTTTCGCAGTACGTTGGTCTATAGATGAAAACTTATTCAGTTGGTTTCTCTGCTAAAACTATATATACAAAACATATTCAGTTGGTTTCTCTGCTAAAACTATATATACAAAACTTATTCAGTTGGGTTCTCTGCTAAAACTATATACACAAAAACTTACTTATTTGGTGTATCTGTTAAAACCATAGATAGAACCTTATTCAATCTATCTTATCAGCTAAAACCATGAATAAAACCATATACACTTATTTTGTTTATATGAAAAACCATAGATGAACCTTTCTCAATGGGTCTATCTGAAAAAACATAATACCTTATTTATTTGGTATATTAGTTATAACCATTATACTTACTCAACTTACACATTAAAAACTTATCTGATAAAACCATAAGTAAAACATACTTAATCGGTCTTTCTATTAAAACCATAGAAAAACAAAACTTAAGTTAAATGTTGAAGTAGACTGGCAATAGTGCTCTTACATAATCGTAGAAGATAAGCAAAATTTTTATTTTTATTGCATAATCATTATGTTTTATATGTGCAATCTTCGGCATAATGAATTGGTAAATTGTAGGGGAATTTTAATCCAAAAAATTTACAAAAAAAAATATTTTACGTACAAAAAAAATATATAAACTTACCGAGTTGGTCCATCTGTTAGCACTTGGACCCCCAGGAAACCACTGCCAGGGCGCAAGCGCTGTCTATAAAAATATAATCTCAGATCACCATTTAGATCTAAGATTAAGTTGTTACCGAAAATGAAGCCTTTACTATCAAAAGTAAAAAACTAATGATATGTCGATTTTAAATTGCATATTAATAGGTCAGAAAATTTGATAAACAAAAATCAATCAAAAAATCTATTTGACTCAAACTTCGTTTTGGCTTTCTCATAACTCAGTTAATTTTCTGAAACTTCATTCTCTCTTTACATTTGGTTTATCACACACTCAATACACTTTCTAATTTTTGTTTTGGCTTTCTCATAACTCAGTTAATTTTCTGAAACTTCATTCTCTCTTTACATTTGGTTTATCACACACTCAATACACTTTCTAATTTTTGTTTTGGCTTTCTCATAACTCAGTTAATTTTCTGAAACTTCATTCTCTCTTTGCATTTGGTTTATCACACTCAATACACTTTCTAATCAAACTTAATTTCCTTAATCTAACGCTTGGATTACTTCATACCCCTTTCCAAATAAATATTCTTAAAACAACAAAGATTTGAACCGTTTCTTAAAAAACAATAATGCTCTATTATAATATGCTCTATACTGCCTTTAAGACCACGACCAGTAGTCAGTATATGATTTCCTCTATAAATTGTTAACGAGGATTAGGTCAGGCCTACTAAGGCACGGCAGGCTAAAGGAGGGCCCAAGCACTACGGCTAGTGTTATAGGGCAAATAACATTATCAATAATAGAGCAAATTATGTACAGTGGTAGGCAATTATTTCAATACAATGAAGACGACATTTGATTTAAATTTTGATTGAAATAATGCTGTTTAACAGCAAGGATACAAATAAACATAGAATAAAAGAGAAGCTATCAATTATTTTATTAGATTACTTGTAAACTTGTAATTCGAAAAAAGCTTGTTTACAATCAAATATTAAAAATATAGTCGTCTTTTTTGTATTGATATAATCGCCTACCACTGTATAAAGCAAACAGTTATAGAGCAAATTTCATAGCGTCCGTGTGAGGGGTGCTGAGAACCCTGAATTTGTTACCTGGATAGAGTTTGTTCCACTGGAATACCCCCTGAATTTGTTACCTGGATAGAGCTTGTTCTACTTGAATACCCTCTGAATGTGTTACCTGGATAGAGCTTGTTCTACTGGAATACCCCCTGAAGTTCTTCTCAAGCAGAGACCAGACTCTGGTCCCAGAACAGCATCCTGACCAGCCAGCATTCCCATATATCCGTTCTAGACAAAGGGTGGATATTTAAGACAGATGTACATAATTTTAAGTTAAAAACAATTTGTGACTGGTGACTGCAGTTTTTTTTAACCTTTTCTTTATCTGACATTCTCTTTCAGAAGCTAGCAGCTGCCCTCCCTTTATCCTCTTTCTAGAAGTTAGAAACTTTCCTTCCCTTTATCTGACAATCTCTCTTTCAGAAGCTAGCAGCTGCCCTCCCCTTTATTTTACAATCTCTTTTCATAAGCTAGCAGCTGCCCTCCCTTTATCCTCTTTCTAGAAGTTAGAAACTTTCCTTCCCTTTATCCGACATTCTCTTTCAGAAGCTAGCAGCTGCCCTCCTCTTTATCTTACAATCTCTTTCTAGAAGTTAGCTTCTGTCCTTCTCTTTATCTGACATTCTCTTTCAGAAGCTAGCAGCTGCCCTCCCTTTATCTGACATTTTCTTTCAGAAGCTAGCAACTGCCCTCCCTTTATCTGACATTTTCTTTCAGAAGCTAGCAGCTGCCCTCCCTTTAACTGACAATCTCTTTCAGAAACCTGCAATTGACCTTCCCTATCAGCTGACTCACCTTTGCCTGAACATATAACCCAGAGTGCTGGCAGCAAAGTCGACCATCCTCTGTAAACTTCCATTGTTGGGTGAGTGATCTTCTTGGATCATGCTTTCTTAGAGACAAGGTTACAAAATCATCCTGAAGCACACTAGGACCAGATATATCTAGGACTAGATATCTAGAGGCATCTGAGGGTTTCTTCGGATCCTGCAAAATATCATTAAAATATATTAAAATCACATACAATTAGATTTCATTTTGATGATTAATGCTGAGATGGCTTTAGTCATCATGATTATTATTGACGTCAAGATTGGTTAGAATTAATGGTTCAATTATTAATGATTTGATTTGTTTCTATATGGTTGGGTTTTTGTTGATTTTCATTTTTAGTTTGCTATGCCTAAATCATTATAATTAATCATTGATCAAACTATTTTTTTAACCTGGGGCGGAGATGACCCTTCATGCTGCAGCATCCCTGTGCTGGTCATCCTCCAGAGCTGGGAGCGCTTTGCCCCAGACTTTTTACTGAGAACCACCCTACTTCCTTCTGGAACATCAAGCACCAGCTCCTGACCACTATAAGAAACATTATTCAGGGGTATTATTTTTGAAATAAATTAACTCTCCATGTAACAATTTTTCTTAACAAATCTTTGGATCAATGGACAAAACATCAGAAAAAAAGTCTAACTTCTTCTTACCTCATTGACTCTTCCATCCCCCAAACTAAGTCGAAGGTTGCTGTAAATGCCAAGTAAATAAAGTTCTCATAAGTCAGCTCGCCTCCAGGTCCATCTATGTTCATATTATAGGTTGCAGAAGATGCTCCTTTAAAAAAACAAATCGGTCAAAAATAAAATATATTACTATGTTACTACATAGCTTAAAGGGACCCTCCAATTAAAGAGAGGCACACTGATTGCTGACTCACATTGGTACCCCATAAACCTTAAAATCTGATCTATAATGAAGAGTTTTTCATCTTAAAGTGTGTAATTTTGATAACTTCTCCATTGTTTCTCAAGCAATTTATTAAAACCAAGAACATAGATGTTAAATTCTTACAGCCCCTTTAACTGTTCCACCTCAAAGGGAAAACTTAACATTTCGGAACTATCATTCCCTGCAAATCAAGGCCAAGCCCCTTTTAAAAATAACTGCAGTTAATGTTGATTAATAACACAGGTTTAGTGAGAATCAAGATATCAAGGACTAGGCCAATGATTTAAGTCACAACCCCACTGCACAGTCTTATCAGAAAGAGGTTTAAAGAAGTTGTAATAAAAAACAGGTAAAAGAAAATTTACTTAAATACAAATTTTGCTCTTAGAAGTTTCAATTGAATCAGGGACCAGTTAATGTAATGATTTGTTTTTCCTGGAGCTGTAATAGATAAATGTGGTGGAAGAACCGGGGCATCTAGAGCATAAGGCACTGAAGAATGAGGCTTCACCATTGACAGCTGAAAGTGGTCATCTACTCCAGTCTGATGGAAGGTGATCGATACCTCTGATAAGTTGTCAATCCTATCAGATTATCTATCTGTTTATCTGGTTTGAAATTGAATATCCAGAACAAAATGCTTTTAACCATTTACAACTTCCTAATTGGAATGTTAGCAAATTTAACTTTACCAAGGATTCCCAAGACTAATTTTGCAAACAAACATCCCCAGTGCAGCATGGGATGTTTTTCAGGCAATATTTGTTGAGGGAATCCATAACTGAAAATTTCACCAAGAAGTAGCTGTACATAATTATATTGTCTTTTGAGATGAAAACGCACAATTTTTTACAAAAACTTTGCAGAGTTGGTTTTTCTTTTACTTCATTGTCCCAAGGGATGTTAAGTAATTTAACACCCCTATGTTGGGGGAATGATAGGTCAGTAAACTTGGTTAACAGACAGTATGATAATAACATTAACAATATTAGATCTGTGAATATTGATTTGATTAAAACAGTAATATTCCTGAATGGTGGGGGAAAGGACTCTGCAGAAGAGATGACAATACAGAATGTAGAATTACACAGACTGATCTCTATCCTCAGAAAATGTATGTGTCCCTAACATTGCTTTCATTCTTTTCAAAGTTTTAATATTTATCGACAATTTAGACAACATTAACAAGCCTAGAAAACAAAAAACTTTTTTTTTACTTTGTTTTGTTTTTATTAATACAAGATTTTTTTTTCACTGAAAAAACCATCATAAATAATAATTTGCAACTTTATTATCATTAAAAACAGAAAGGTTTAAGTTAATTTCTAAACAAACAGCAATATATTGTTGAACTAAATATTTAATTTACAAAATGCATTATATCTAAGTAAATCCCCTAAACTTAAGAAAGATGATTGCTTTTTACCAACAATAATAAATAATAAAGAAATTAGAAATTGTCAGGGTTTTCTCTACCTTAAAGTAGCATTTGTATCTTATCAACTTCTTGCTTATGGGAAATCATAAATTTATCTTTTACTTACAGGTTTCAAATTAAATTCTAATATATTCAAATATTCTATATAATAATACAAGACATTCATATATTTGGTCCCTCTGACTGGCCAAACAGCTGGACCAAATAAGCTGAATTTTTTTTTCCCAAGGTTAATGCCCCGCTTTACAGCTAGTATACATCAAAGTACAAAAGCTATGCAGGCATTTTGAATATGCATGTAGTGATGTAGTTTTTAGGTCGGTTATTCCCTACATTTTCTTTCAGGGTCAAAATATGATATAGTGTAAGAAGAGAAAATGTTTTCTAAATTCTAAACATTTGTTTTTCTTACACTTGAACCTGGCAGAAGATATAAGCAAAAAACATCCCAAAACATATTGTAACAATCGTTTTTAGATTGGGTTTTCCCTTTTTCAATAAAAACAAACTTTACCATAATATAGTTTTGAAATCTTGAAAATATTATTAAATTGCATACATAATATAATTATTTTAAAAATAATTTTAGTTTAAAAATCATTTTATAGTTCACAAAAAAGATCTCATCCACTAGCATTAAGAATGATGATAAAAGGAAAATATTTCAATAAATTTCTTTAATATCTTGGCCTCTTGTCAATAAATCATTTTGATATTTCTAAATTCAAACTCAGCAAATATATCAAGGGATACTGTACTCTCCATAAATAATTCCTTTTAAAGTTAGCATGCATTGTATACTCAAATAATTCCATAACTTTTACCAAACATTTTTGGGTCCTAATATTCCCTTATCATATAAAATATGTTATGCAATTGAATGTATAAGTTGGAATGAAGAGTAAGGGGTGAAACTGCTAAAAAGAGTATGCTTGGAGGAGAACAAATTTAACATTAGACATCATAGGGAAAGTTTTTCACCTTTTCAGATACTTAAAAGGCAAAAATATATTTTCTTCATCTAAAAACCATTTTAAAAAAAACTAAGAAAATTTACACCCCTGTTTTTCAACAATGGTGAATGGATTTGCATCTATTCCATTGAGCTGAAAGGATTTGTTGAGTGGAGGCATTGAGGAGGGGGAAGCTTGGGTACATTATGGATGATAAGTCGGATGGGGGAAGTAATAAAATTTAGATAAAATCATGAAAAATACAAAAAAAAAAAAAAAAATTTCATCCTAAAGTATAGATAATGTTCTCTCGCAATTTTTTTTCTTAAATTACACACAAAAAAAAAAAATATTTTTATAATATTTTGTAAAGGAGTGCTTCTATTCAAAAAATATTATTTCAGTGTCAGAAGTGTGTTACAGTGCAAAAACACCCTTTTTTATGAATAATACAAATATGGTTTGAATAAATTCCAGGTATTAAAATTCTATTCAGACATGCCTTGTCAGCTGTCAGATATGGTATTCTGCAACTATCCCTGTGGTGGGGGGATATTATACACCATTCCTTCTCGTTCCTCCAGATAACAGGGGAAAAATTCACCAACTCAATGTTAAGTCTCTAAATCCCTAACAATATTAATCTGATACTGTCTGAGGTCCATTAAAAAGATACATTTTTCTCTTTAAAATATTGATAATTTTTATAACTGAAAAATTGTAAAAAAACAATACATCAAAAATGTAGAAAATTGTTCCTTAGAGATTGGTTGAAGAGAATATAAACTTTGAGAAAACTTTTTTTTGCTTAGTTTTACAAAAAAAACCGTAAAAATTATAGAACAACTTCATTGTTCAAATGATGCTAACTTATTTCAATAAAAGTATAATTTAATAATAGATCTTTAAATGAACTGAAATGCGAAATAAGCGATTTTTGCAGCTTATTTTACAGCAATCCAATTTTTGCCATGAATTTTTGATTTTGTAATTTAGGGTCCACCCTATTTATAAATCTCTACATGTCATATCAATCTTTTGTGTTTTATTTTCCCCCCAGAAAACCTGTCAACTGAGCCATGGAAGAAATGGTTTTGTGTTTTCAAACTCAGGATTAGGATGACAGGAGGAGGGGGAAGTGGGAGGAGAGAGGAGGGGAAGAGAGGAGGAATGATAATAAATTATGAAAAGAAAAATTAGTTTCAATGAAAAATGAGACATAGTATTTTAGGATATCCACTAATCTTATTAATAACTTAATATCTGTCATCTTAAGCAAAAGGTATTAATTTATATTATTTTATTTGTAGATTTGTTATAGTGTGTGATTTTTTTGTCTCCAAAATTGCTTCAAAAATGTTAATGACTACTTTGAGAAATTTAAATTTGTAATTTTTTCCAAAACGTTTTAAAATTGAAACTTTTTTTAAGTTAGAGATTTTTTATAAAGTTTGCAGTTGCAAAAAAGGCTTTTCACCTTTTTATAGATAAAAAATGTCAGAATTTTTTTTTTGTATTTGTACAATTTTTTTTGTATTCGTACAAATTTGTTTGTATTTGTACAAAATCAAAATTTATCTTGTTGCAAGCTACAACAAAGAGTTGTATTGGTATGCCAAACAACTAGTCTGTGTCATGAATATAAGAAAAATAATATTAATTTTGTGCATCAATGAGCTACATATTACTGCATGTATAGCAATAGTTGTGCATTAACTGAAAGGCTTTTTTTAATGATCAATATGCAAACATTTCTTTTATTGCAATTAAAGGCATTTTTTATCAAATTTAGTAAAACTTTCCTAAAAGTTTTAGCGATTAAAAAGACTACTCTAAAATTGACCCAATTGTTAACTTAATTTTGTAGGAAAATCCATCCCATGGCTGACAATGTTAAATGGGTAGAGGGAGGGGAGCGGGAAAATCATAATTTCTCTTTCTAAAGTTTCTGAATTATGAATTCAGTTTTGAAGGTTTTGACAAGAGAAGGTTCAGAAGTTAGAATTTAGTCTACTAACTTTATCTTACCCACTTACAATTACTGGACAGGAATTAAGCAAAAACAAATCCTGACAAGGTTAAATTTTCATTTGATTATATAGTTTGATTATAAGTTTTCAAGGTAAGTTATGAACATAAGGTAAAAATGAAAAAAAAAATATCCTCCATTGCTCAAAAATGGGGAAAAATGTCAAATTGATCGAGGGGCCTTGTATTTCTTTAAAAAGGGACAGAAAGGTAGCAATATTCTTTTAGTGTCAAACCTTTTGCATTTTAATGTATGAACAGGCACTAACAAAGATTTAGCTGGACAATTCCCAAGGTTAACCCGGTCCCGGAAATTACACCGATAAAGAATACAATTTGTAATTTTCTTCAGCTCTGTTTTTATGCCTGTATATTCATTTAGGAAATATCAGATGTTTCTTATTTAATTCAACTTTTGAACTAAACAAGCAATGGTTTTCAATTATGGTCAGGTGAGCAATCTTTTTTAAATTTCAGGAAAGTTAGACCAAATTTGGTCAAAAATTATCTTAAATATCAAATAAAAATTATGTTTTTATGTTAATTATCACTAAACTTACCTTTAAAAAAATGCACACCTTTTGCTATATATGCAGTAAATTTTAGCGCATCATTGCGCAAATCTTATCATTATTATTATTATTATTATTATAGATATCAATAACAACAGAGACAACAGAAAATAATTTGTTGTCATAACAATATCTTTGATGTAGCATGCAATAAGACAAATTTTGAATTTGTAAAGATAAATATACCAGATATGTAGCCCTATTATTGTGTGCATATTGCTAACAGAAACCCTTTTTTCCAGTGCTTATGATCCATTCAATTTTGATGTGGATCCAGATCCAATTATTTTTATCCTAAAACTTGATGAACCATTCAGAAATGAGGACATTTTTATAATCTCTCTTTTTTCAAAAGTTCATTTAGGGTTTATGAGTAAAAAAGATTTTTTTTGCAGTTTTTGGTTGATATTTTACCCCTTGGATCCGGATCCATGGATCCGCATATTTTTGAGGATCCAGATCTGGATCCAGGCAGCCAAAATCCAGATCCTAAACACTGCTTTTCCCCCCCTGGTTTACTCATCAAGTTTTCCTCCCATGAGGTCCTTCAATACCCCCTGTAGAGTGTAGAGCACACTGAAGAGAATAAATCGTTCACCTCTAAAGTTTAATGTAATGGAACCAATATTTGAACAATCCAGGGTATAACTTTACTCCATCATTTAGCTCTGGATATATAGGACTGAACAAAAAATAAAAACTTAATTAAAAATCCAATACAATGAGACCATGATAGAAAAACACAGTTTGTGAAACCATGTTCAGTAAGTCAAACCCTATAAGTGACTTAGTTAGTGAAATCAAGTTAGTGATATTTGGAAACAAGGTTAGTGAAACTCAGTTAGTAAAACCAAGTTAGTGAAGGGAGGTAAGTAAAACCAAGTTTGATGATCAGCAACTACATTCATAGAATTGTTATTATAAACAACTGTAAAGAACAAATAAAGTGTAATTTCAAAGGACCCTTCATGCAAAGATTGCAATGCCAGATTTACAACAGTACCCTTAAAAGCTTTTTCTGATCAAGTATGAATTTTATATCAATGTTCTGTTTCTTTAAAGAGTTAATTTCCATTAGCAGTTTCTCTGCGAAAGTGACTTGCGCATTCCTAGTTTATAGGAAGCCGTGGAGAAACTCACAGAAATAAACAATTCAGAAGAACAATGGTTTCTTCCTCATTTTTTATCATATTTAGATTTCAAGGGTACTATTGTAAATCGGACATTTCCATACTTAAATTACGCTAATGTAACATTAAAAATAAGTTCTTCTTACTCCCAGAAGGTTTGTGATCAATTCAATTAACTCAGACTGTCAAGTAATAATTATTAATGAGTCTATATACAAACAAACAATATTGTATGTTCTTAATTGTAATTTTTGCTCTGTCTGTCTGTCTGTGTCTGTCTGTCTGTGTTTGTCTGTCTGTCTGTGTTTGTCTGTCTGTCTGTCTGCCTGTCTGTCTGTCTTTCTGTCTGTCTGTCTGTCTTTCTGTCTGTCTGTCTGTCTGTCTGTCTGTCAGTCTGTCCGTCTATCTATCTATCTATCTATCTATCTATCTATCTATCTATCTATCTATCTATCTATCTATCTATCTATCTATCTATCTATCTATCTATCTATCTATCTATCTATCTATCTATCTATCTATATATCTATCTATCTATCTATCTATCTTTTTATCTATCTATCTATCTATCTTTATAATCAAAATCATTTAATATATAATTTATATCATCATAATCATACCCTTACTATTATCATCATTCATTATTATTATTAATATTATCATCATTATTATCAATGTTATCATCATTATTATTAATGTTATCCTAGTTTTCATTATTATATCATCATCATCATCCTTATTATGATGAATTCTAGAATGTTTGAATGAAAGATTCCCTGAATATCTCTGAGAGAAAGCTGAAATGAATCAACCTTCTCTATAATGATTCCCCCGGACCACTGGCACTCTGCAAAATTATTAATTAATAAAATCCTGCAAACTTGGAAACTTAAAAGGACCTAGTTCAGATGAATAAAAGTGTGGTAGGGAGAAGGGAATTCAAATATTTACATTTTACAAGAAAACGTTAAAGGGAGTGTAAGCGTAATTTCAAGTGACCCTCCGTGCAAAGATGGCAATACCCGATTTACAACGATACCCTTGAAACCTTTCTCCGATTTTTCTATGTTTAAACGTGTTGATTTCTGATCATTTCTATATGTTTTCCTGCTGTAGAAATGCGCAAGTCACTTTTGTAGAGAAAAAATGTATTGAAAATAATCAGTATTCAAAATGATAAACCTTGATATCTAATTTATACTTGATCAGACAAAGCTTTGAAGGGTTCCACTACCATTGGGAATCTTTGCATAGAGGGTCACTTGAAATTAAGCTTTCAATCCTTTTAAATATTGATCTGAAGGGGTAATGTTGTGAATCATTGATGTACAATGTACAATGAACAATGACCAATGTACAATGTGCAGTGTACAGTGTATAGTGTACAGTTCAGTGTAACTATAAGAGTGCAAGAGTACAGTTTGAGGTGTACACCATACAAAGTACACATAATTATATTCATAACAACAAAGTCTTCAACTTAAAGCTTGGAAAGAAATAACAATTACAAAACTAAAAATAGAAGTCTAATATTTTATCACGAAATCCTGGAGTTATTTCCTTTGTTAACAGACAGGATCCCGGAAGATAAATTCCTTGTTATTTTCTCCAATTCTTCAAATAATATTCTATTTGGACTTCCGGAAATTTTATAGAGCGACAAGAGGATGGTTGAACTATGCACGGCTAGTTTATTAAATTTTACTTCAGTGTAGTTTAGGAATCTCATTGGCTGAAAAAAAATCTGTTGTTTGATACAGTTGTTGTTAAACATTGTTTAAAATTTACGTTTGATGGATATTTTTGGTTTGAACACTAATGTAATTTGTTTCTTTTCCTGGGAAAACCTAATCCCAATGGGACTAATAGAGTCCGTTCACAAATTCACAATTCAGGTAAGATTGATGCAAACTGAGTACAATTCAAGTTCAACAAATATATTTTATTTACAGAAACAAATTCAGAAAGGAATAGGACACTGAATTAAAATAGTAAGAAAGAAATAGGACACTGAATTAAAATATTAAGAAAGGAATAGGACACTGAATTAAAAAATTAAGAAAGGAATAGGACACTGAATTATAATAGCAAGAAAGAAATTGGAAGAACTTATTAAACTTTCTTCAGTTTGTAAAATATTGTGAAGTAAACAAGGTTATGTTTTCTTTACAATTTCTTTTTCTGCAGGGGTAATAAATGATTTTCAAAAAAAAGGGGGGGGGAGAGGGAGAAGATTTTTTGAGAAAATGAGAAAATATATACACCCCTACTTTTCTGTGTTGTCGAGATAATTTGTATTCTGTTCACTCTTTTCATAAGATTTCAGTTATTTAGAACAAGATTCTTTTAACACAATGTTTGAACATAATGTTCAGTTTTCTCTTAGTAAATATAAACTTTAATGACACATCTAGTATTTTGGTCTTACTTGATGTATTGAGTATAAGACCCCTGTACCTGTATGAAATATACTCTATTACCCCTGTACCTGTAAAAATTGTAACCTATGACCCCTGTACCTCTTGGAAATGTACGCTATGACTTGTACATGTAAGATATATACTCTTAGACTCTAGTACCTGTAATAAATAAACCCTATGACCCCTGTACCTATAAGAAATGTACTCTGTGACCCCTGTACCTGTAAGAAATGTACTCTGTGCTGCAGGATCCTTGAAGGAGGTTGCAAACTGTAGCTGGGATAGGAGAAGCATGTGAGGGGACTGGTTGTAGATCTGGAATCTGAAATATCAATGGGGTAAAGGCTCATCCAACCTAATGGTTTTCTGACCTCAGGAATTTCCGACCTAAAATTGTATTAGATCTTAAAATAAGTTAGGTAGGATAAAAAGGTTAGGTGAGGTTGGATGGATGAGGGTTAGATGAACCTATAATGGGGAGTCAAATTAAATCTGCAATCACCCAAAACTTTTTATAAACTACTCGATAAATAGTTTGGATACTATCTAGGTCAGGTTACTCTAGGTCAGTTTTCAATGCATCATCAAATTTGATTATTTTGAAGAATATTTTGAGGATAAATATTTTAAAAACCAGGGAGTGAAAAATTTCTTCTCAAGACATTTTCCCTTCTGCCTTCTTACAAGCAGGCTGACAATATTTCAGAAAATGAGAGAAATTCTATTCACTGGAATTTTAGCTATTCACCCTAGAATTACATAAATCTTTACCTAGGAGATATAGTAACTATATTTGTATCCCTATACCTTCCTCTGCCCTGTCTCACGTCAATACCTGCAAACAAATAAGATTTTCTTCCATTTTATCAAATAAGATGTTTTTCAAGATAATGTTGTACTCACTGAGCTGCAAAATTATATTTTTAATCACATCAAAGCATTAGAATATTTTGAACATTATGAACACATTTACATCATGATAAGATTTAGATAGTTTCTTAAAAAAATCAAAATTTAGATTTTGAAAAATTATACTGACTAAGTAATTAAGATCTTGTATGAAGACCAAAAAAAAAATCTAAATAAGAAAACACCAAATTCAAGAAATGTACTGATATTTAACGTAATGATTCCTTTTGGTAGATCTAATTTTTCATAAAAATATATATTTCTGAAAATGTTAGATATCTAAAGTGCAATGACAATAGTGTTTTTCAAAACTTTGTTCTAAGTACCGTCTTTATATCTCATAAAAAGTTTTAGTTTACTTACCAACAATATAAACCCATTCGGGTCGCTTGTCAGGAGGGTCAACTCTTAACCTTCGAACTGAAGCCGCAGACTTCAACAAGAACATTAGAAACTTAAACTTTACAAGTAAATGGAAAAAATGTCTGGCAGAAACAAATTAAATAAGTGACATTTTTAGAATAGACAAAATGTTGAAATATTTCCAACTCGACTAATATTACAAGGAAAAATTGAAAAAGTTTTTATTTACTTATTGGATTTATGAACCAACTTTCTTTACTGGAGTGGATACCCTACATTAGTTTTAATACTGTTGTAGAAACTTGTAAACATAGAGTTATGTTTTTGTTCAGCTTCCAAGATAAGTTTGAGAAGTCTGGCAAATTAATTATAAACAGTTGCTGAATTTATTGGATAACAAGACCACCTACACCCCTTTTCCAGCTCTTGAATCTGTCATTTTTCTTGAGTAAATCATATTTCGCGGACTTTTCTGCTTAAGTTTGCGCATTTTAAAAATAACAAAGATCAACTCTATGTTCCAGGTAACATTTGTTAGTTTTTTATCATTTACAAACATTCCCTGGTCTCAAAAGCCTAACTTTGTATTATTCTAGACTGTAGAAAGCAAAACTTACTGATTTCAAGTTTCCATGAAAAATATAGATAAAGAAAAGGAAAAAGATAGGGTGTGGTTTCAAATTGATGATTTAATCAACATTTCACCTAATGGTTGAAACACGAAACTCTAAGTCTGAACAATAACAAATACATAAAACACTTTTCCCATTTTATAAGTTCACAACAAAGAAATATATTCTTTTATCTTTCCTTTTCTTTCATGCCACTAAATCTTAGATAAAGAATTTCTGAATCTTCTTAAAATTACATAAGTTAACTAGAAATAAATAAACAGGAAAAAGTTAAATGTATTATTTTTACTTTATTTTTAAAGCAGAAAAGAACAAAATTTTTATGAAAAGCCCTATTGTTCTATGTAGAAAATGTTTTTTTTTTCCATTTGTGGTTTTTCTTTAACCGTTATTCAGGATTCAACAACTTTTGAGATAGAAAAAGGAGAATAGCTACCCTGAATTTCTGGTTAGATAAGGATTGAGATAGCGGACTGTTATTGATCAGACATACAGCTTATTAAATGAAGGGGGGGGGGGGGTTGACATTTAAAACAACAGTTTCTCTATTAAATTATTAATTAAAAGTATTAATAATTTAAAAATAGTAAGCACATTCAGAATCCAAAAAATTGTTCTGAAGTAATAAAACTCAACTAGTCCAGGAAAGAATAAAATTTCAAGAAAGTTTTTATCCTTTTCTTCTTTAGAAAAGAACCAATTTCTTCTGCAGAGATTTGGCTTGTGATTTCATTATAAATTGAGCCTTAACTCTGGAAATCGAACACATGAAATAAATTATGAAACTTGTCAAATCATGGTTGTTAAAAAGAGTTGAAAAGAACAGAGATATTTTCTATTAATATTCTTTACAATGAAAGGAAACAATGGACTTACTCTTAACATGAAAAGAGGCTATAAATATTTTCAACAACTATATTTGGTGTGAATGAGTATTTTTTTCTGGACTATTTTTTACTAGAAACTAAACAATGGTGTTAATTTAAACTAGTGTTTTCATTTTCATCTGGATTCTGGAAATTGTTATGGAGTATAGATGGGCAACGTTTTTGTAAACGAAAGCATTATTCAAGAACAAACTAAATTTTTCGAGAACAACTTGAATCGTAAAGAGAAATAAAAACAATTATCATTAAAATAGATGGAAATTAAACAATAATTTGGGAAACAAACAAAAAAATTTTTTTGAACAAGGGAAAAAAATTTACAAAATGGTGGTACATAAACGATGAACAATGTAAACGAATAAAAGCCAAGCATGCCCATTTCTATTATGGTGTTTATTCTTGTGATGATAAATGCTCAAACTCATAAAAAAAATTTATTATGCCGAATGTAGCACCAAGGGGAATTATTTTGGGTAAAAAAATTGTCTCTGGTTACTTTATTGAGTTGGATCCAAATCCAAACAAAATCAAGAATTTGCAGAGGAACCTTTTTACTCCCATTAAAAAGTTTTGGACTCAAAAGACAAAGAAGCAAAGTTTTTGAACAGTTTGAACAGAATAGCTGAATAAGCAATCTACTAATGGAAAAGATAGGGAGATTGGAGAATAATTTAGCCATCTTTTCAAAACTTGAATACAAAGGGCTTTAGTTATGTCCCAAAAACCACTAAAACAATAAACATGTAATTTCTTTAAAATCTCCATATGTGCAGCGAATTAAATATTTACAAAATAAAGAATGAAAGACTCAACTATATTAAAAAAGAATTCAACAAGATAGGTTTAAAATATTTAACAATGCTAAGCTTGCATCCCTGGCATTTGCATTTACAAAGATTAGGAAGGAAAAGGAAATTCTTTAGAAACTTCTTCATTGTTGTTTTTACTGATTCAATCCCGCAGATGTTGCAAAATTTCTAAACTTCTCATATTTCTGCTGCTTTGCTGTTTCTTGTCAATCCACTTTTAGAATTCAGTATATTTTAGAGAGATAAATGTTTTTTTTAATCCTGGTGCCCCCCCCNGGATTCAAAAATCCCGCCTCCTCCTCAGAATTAAGTCCATTTCCACCTGATCACATAAATGAGGTAATTCTGAACAATGAGACACTAGGTTTGAATATTGATTATATTTTCTTGAAGGTTTCTTTTATCATATTTATTACTCTTTTGTAGTCAAATACTCCAGAATAATATATCATATTCCCTTAGGGAAAGATATTCCAATTATCTCAATACCACACATACATTTACATGTATATTCAATCAGTGCTAAAACATGGACTTGCAGGCATTGTAGAGGTAAACTATCATTATCATCAAAAGACAAAAAATCTAACCAAATAAAGATTTTAGGGACTTTTTAAAAGAATCATAAATTTCATCAGTAAAATAGATATGCAAGTTTCTGCTCGCTCAGTATTCAGTGAAGCTAGAAATGACCTTTGGAAAAATCATCTTGTTAAAAGTAATTTCGTAAGTTTCTTAGAACAATTAAACAAGTAGAAGTGAGTAGTAAAAACCATACGAAAAGTTTGAATGTAGGATAATAGTTTAACGCTTCCATTCCTTTTTTTTTTAGACAATTACTGGATTTTTGTTGGAAAAGATTAACATAAAGTCATGAACTACATCAGATATATATTACAAGTCAATGGTAAGGAAAGTTTTAAAGAGTTTTCTTCCTTGAAAGTTTTCTACAGAATTATCTTCCAAGAGGAAACATAGTTGTATGTATTAGGATTCTTCTCAGAATTCAAACAACTTTTTAAGATTTCAGAAGGAAAAATAAACATTGTTCTCCTAATCTTATTTTAGAGTTATAATTGTATTTGTTATGCTGGAGTTGTATTATTTTGTCTATTTAAAATGTTAACACAATTTCTTAAAACTGTTTTCCATCTACTTTTCTCAAAAATATTAAAAGTACTAATTTAAAAAAAATTGTCAACTCTATATAGTTCCCAAAATTTAAGTAAACAAAATGCTATTTACTTTGAAAAATTTTAACTTTTTAAATAAAAAAAAATTATTTCTGTTAGATTCAAAATGAGTGAAAGAAAGACAAACTTTTAGATTATTGTAAAGCCTTTTCAAAAATACAAAAAGAAACATGACTTTGTAAATGAAAATCAAAGATTTTGTCTGACACATATCTTATCAATAATCATACTTCTCCCAAAGATTTCTGGCGCCAAGATATCAAATTAAAGAATAGTATGAATCAGAAATATGTGTCAAAATGTATTTTTCCCTTGTCTACAAGGGATTAGAATGCTTAGATCTAAAAGAGAAGAACAGAAAACAGATGTGTGACCATATAAAAAATCTCAATCCAGAGTTCAGAAAAAAATCAGACGTAAGAGTATACAGAGTTCAGAAAAAAAGAAAGTAAGATACTCAGCAATTTCAAATTCATGGCTCAGAAAAAAAGCAAGATCATTTAAAATTAGTTCTTACTTGTAACACGGCAAACTACAAGGACATCCAACAAAATTCATTCTTTTTATTTTCAAAATTAGCCATTTTCAAAATTAGCCGAAGTATGATTGAAGGATGGACCAAAAAGAAAAAATGAAGAACAAGAAATATAGAAATCTCAAAATATTTTCATCTGATTTCATATAAATATTTAAATAAATTGCAAAATTGCAAAATAAAAAATTATTAAAGTTAAAAATACTTCTCCCAAAGTTGTCAATGTAAATGTAATGCCTATAGCCGGCCAACGGTTGGACCGATCGGACTGAAATTTTTTGTGGACACACTTTGTGGCTGGGGGTGTTATAGAATAAATAAAATTAGAAATTTTTTTTCCAAAATTTTTCTTTTTTCCACGGGCAACACTGGGCCTTTGAGCTAGTCTCTTCTAAAATAAGAAGAAATGTCAAGTCTAATGTTTCCTGTAGGTAAAAGTGTTTGCACCATTTTGTCTTTCCTTCCGGATGTACTCCACTTCCAATCCTTTAATATCAATCTATTCATCAAGAGTTTATAAATGGTTAGAAACTTGAAATAACTTAGAAATTAAAGGGACTGTGAGCGTAATTTCAAGAGACCCTCCCATGCAAAGATGGCAATGCCTGAATTACAACAGTAGCCTTGAAACCTTAATCTGATTAAAAATGTGTAATGAACCGCCGTGTTTCTGACTCAAAGTGTTTAGTTCTGATACTTCTCTAATGCTTCTTATCAGCAAAAATTGCGCAAGTCACTCTTGGAAAAACCGCAAATAAAAATAAACAACTTAGGATACAAATCCTAAAAATAGATTTGATCTCTGGTTAGAAAATGCTACTGTAAAAACATACTTTTAGGAAAATATGTCAACCTTCACAAGCTTAGATTCTTTTAGAAAGGAAAATTAATTGTTGTGCTTTAAGTTTGAAAACCAGAGTGAAAGGGATAGAGTAGAGCACTTAACACATTTTACAAAACATTCTTAACTAAAAGAATAAAAGAAAGACATCAAAAGGTTTGTTCTGGAAAATAAATCAGAATTCTAAAAACCAATACACTATATGGAATTTGTAAAATAAACTTAAGATTAAAATCTAAATTTACCTTTTCCTCTTTAAATGCTTTATTTGCTAATCCAAATATCATGAATGCATAAAGACGCTAAAATTACCCTAACGCAAGAGGTGAATTTTATTCTTAACTATCCCTTATCAAATCAAATCAGACTGCTAGGGTTGTCCTACGACCATTTTATAGTTTCTACCCCAGTGCTTAGGATCTGGATCCAAGGGGTAAAATATAAACTAAAAACTGCCCAAAAAAAACTTTTTTACTCCTAAACCCCAAATGTAAACGTTTGAAAAAAGAGAGATTATAAAATTTACTCATTTCTGAATGGTTCATCAAGTTTTAGGATAAAAATAAGCAAAAAAATAAAACTAAAATTTGAAAATTATTTTTTGTTAAAAAATTTCAGTAAATCTTAAAGAAATGACCTGGATCCGGATCCATTTTTTTCCAGTGCGGATCCAGGATCCGGATCCGGATTCGCATCAAAATTAAATGGATCCTAAGCACTGGAACTTCTACATTACCTTACTAAATCAAAACACTCAATTAAGAGTTTTAAAACAAAGCCAAGAGCATTCCTTAATTTCTCCTTGAGTTTCCTATTCAAATTTTGAGACTTATCAGAACAGGGAATCATGAGATATGCTTGGACGTCCAAATAGAGATTACTACGTTATAGTTAAAGATAAATATGTTAGAAGATGGATAGATTGTAGTTCCTGACAACAAGGCCAGGTGGGGAGTCAGTGTTTGAGATGGAGAAGAGTAGTGGAACAATCATCCTAGCCTGCTCATGCTCATCATACTGTCCTGAATTCATTAATTAATTAATTAATTAATTAATCAATCAATCTAGCCTGCTCATACTCATCATACTGTCCTGAATTCATTAATTAATTTTTTTAATTAATCAATCAATCTAGCCTGCTCATACTCATCCTACTGTCCTGAATTCATTAATTAATAAATCAATCTTCATTGCCTGCTAATGCTCATCAGTTTGGTTCGAATCAATCAATCCATCAATCAATCAATTAATCCATCCAACTGTTCAACGATATGTCCAACTGTTCAACCATATGTCCAACTGTTCAACCATTCATCCAACTGTTTAACCATTCATCCAACTGTTCAACCATCTGTCCAACTGTTCAACCATCTGTCCAACTGTTCAACCATCTGTCCNCAGAAAGAACTACCCAAAAAATCATTAATATTTTTTTGCTGGAGTGAAAGGTAAACTTGTTGTTGACCTGACTTTGGCTCCAGATATGACCGTAAACCTTAATACTCTCTCCTCCACACAAAACTTTGTTATTGCAGTCTAGCGTCTATCCTATCCCAAACCTTAATACTCTCTCCTCCACACAAAACTTTGTTATTGCAGTCTAGCGTCTATCCTATCCCAAACCCAGCAAACTCAAAGCAATTAAAAAAAATCATAGATTAATTAAGGGGCAAAATTTAAGTGTTTAATCTTTAAAAAGTTTTCAAAGATAGAACAAGAGAGGTAGTAGTTACTTTTTTTATTTTCAAAGAAAACACAGATAGTACAATATTGGTAGTATTTCTTATCCCTTTCAGAGATTATAGATATTGCAAGAGCGGTAGTATTCAGATATAACAAAGATAGTAAAAAAGAGGCGCAGAAGTTTCTTACTTAATTCTTTTCAGAGATTATATTGTTAGAACAAGAGAGGTCGTGGTTCATTTTCTATTTTCATAGATTACAAAGATAGTAAACAGAAATGTAGTAGTTTCTTATATCCTGTGAAAGATTGCATCGTTAGTACAAGAGAGATAGTATTTACTTACATCTTTTCAGAGATTGCACAGAAAGTATAAGAGTGTTAGCATTTCATTATTTTTTAAACTTTTTCCTGCAGTCCAAGTTTCATTAACTTAAAACCTTGCCAAACCATTGATTTTTTCAGAATTGAAACAGAAGAACAAATTCGACTTTTAGATCATTAGATGCATTAATTGAGCTTTAGGGGTAGTAATAAAATTTTCTCTCTGTATATGGGTAAGATATGTATGATAGGAATACATATTTTTAATCCCTCTCAAAATCTACCCCCCCCCCCCCCCGAGTATCAAAGTACTTCACCAATATTCCCCATATATGGTTTACTATAACAATAAATCCAGCCCTCCCATTCCCCCCCCTCCCCCCTCCACTCTTCACTACTATATCCTTGTTGCACGAGTGAAGAATGAGAATCATTTACGAATTTCCGCTTGAAGGGGAAATAAAAGATTTTTTTTTTAAAGAGAAAACCTTGCAATAACAAAATAGAGGTTTCAGAAAAATCCAGATGCATTTTGTTAATTTTTTATAACATTTTTTCCCAGTAACTCTCCTTTAAATAACTCTCCATTTGCGAGTTTTGGATAATATTTTTCTTGCCCCCTCCCTTAACATTTTTCAGATTCATTTCTTAGAATTTAATTTCTTCGATGTTAAACATTATATGTATAAGCATAGTTTTATTTTGTGAACAACTTTAATTTTTAAGTTGTTCTGCTTTCATTAAGAATACCTCTGAGAAAAAACTATACTTTATTAAAGGGACTGTAAGCGTAATTTAAGGTGACCCTGCTTGCAAAGATGACAATGCCTGATTTACAACCCTTGAAAACTTAATCTGATCAACCTGTGGAAAATTCGCGAAAAGTGTTTAATTTTGATAATTGTCCAGTCTTTCTTTCGTAAGCAAGAAATGCGTAAGTCAGTTTTGCACAGAAAAAACGAATCAAAAGGAACAGTTTAAAGAAACTAAAACATAGATATCTCATTCATATTTTGATAAAACAAAGCTTTTATGGATACTGTTGAAAATCTTTGCTCAGAGGGTCACTTGAAATTGCGCTCCCAGTTCCTTTAAACAAACTAACAAACAAACCAACATCAAGCAAAGATGGCATTTCGAAATTACAACAAGTTTAAAGAGGTTATGAACAAAAAGCCAGAGATCTAATTAAAATAAAAACTCTCTGTTTTGGAATTTCACGGAGCATTGCGCGCAACATAGAATGGCAACTGCCTTATTTTAATATGTTTGGAAGAGCAAAGACCAAGTTATCATTAATTTGAATTTGAAAAGAAACATGCAGCTGGGGATTCGGAAAATAACGAGGAAAAATCTTTAACTTCTGGAGTAAATGATGCTCAAAGAGAGGGAAAGGAATTTTCAAAAAATGATTTGAGCCGTAGCTTAAATTTGAGACGCGACTCTCATATGGTTGGTTCCACTTAAAATTGTATTCAATGTTTTAAGATTTAAGCCGGCGCTCAATGGAAACCGGTTCTTGGCGAATTTCAGATGCGGCTCAAATTCATTAAATTCAGACTCTGAAACATGATCCCGTTGAAAAAAAATGAACCTCCTTAAAATTCCAATTATTTGATGAATTAACTGAACATTTTTAACAAGAATTCCAAAAGATATAGGATTTCTAATTCTGAGAAAATGTCAAAGAATTTAACATTAATTTTTCTTCAAAAAGTTAAAATTTGGATTTTTAACAATCGACTTACGATATTTTACCAAGTATCATTAATTGCTTATTATTGGCATTCATTTAATTGATTTTAGAATTTATAATATTTGCATTAGAAAATTTAGCTTTATTAGGATAATATCATTACTATTAGTCCTTTATTAAACCATAAATAACCTGTTTTGTTAACCAGCCAGTACTGTGAGTAAATAGTGATGTGTACAGAGCCTCCATATTGTACTGCAACCCTGAAAAAGTTAACTACTGTACTGTACTGTACTGTACTGTACTGTACTGTACTGTACTGTAATTGTATTGTTCTGCACTATACTGTACAGTACTGAACTGTACTGTACTGTACTTTACTGCACTTTGCTGTACTGTACTGTACTGTACTGTACTTTGCTGTACTGTACTGTACATTTCATATCTAAATTTTTAAATATCAAATAACAAATAAGAAACTTTCATACAGGGTTACCCACAAAGGACACCCCAAACCATCCATGCATGAAAATAATAGTAACATATTTGAAAATACCCCCCTTCCTCCCTCCCTCCCTAGGCTGTTGAAGAATTATTTGTGAAGTCTTCAAACAAATAATTTGATTGATGAAATGGTTAGAGAAAATTATGTGATAGAGAAATTATGTGTTAAGAAAATTATGTGATTAAGCATATAATGTGACAGTGGGAATCATGTAATTGAGCAAATTATGTGATTAAGCAAATTATTTAATAGAGAAAATAATGTGACAGTGGGAATGTTGTAATTGAGCAAATTATGTGATTAATCAAATTAAGTGATTGAGCAAATAATATAGTTAAGCAATTTGTGATTGGGCAAATGATGTGATATAGCGAGAAATGTGTTGAGCAAATTGTAATTGAGAAAATTATGTGATGGAGCAAGTTATTGATTATAGATTATGTGATGAGCAAATGTAAAAGGTTACAGAGCGTATATTCAATCTTAATTTTTTCTTGAAATCTTATTTTTAGAGAGCACATGTAATATCTTAAAAATATCAGATTTAACTAAATTGAATTCGGACTGTTGCAAGAAAAATGATTCCAGAAATAGTTTTTTTTCTGCAAAATGTTTATGTTTGCAAAACCATTAGCTAAGGTTGGGTGGATTCATATATTTCCAGGAGAATTTTCAGGGGTGTATGTTTTCTAGAAAAATTATTTTTCTTCCCCCTCCCCTTTTGAAAACCATGTTCCCCCACAATTCAAATATTTTAAGGGATTTAATTGGGGAAAGTTAATAATTTTTTAAAGGAAAATCAATAATCTTTTGGATTAAAAAGTTTAAAAATAAAAAGAATTTCCCCCAATTCATCAAAAAGGGAGTAATTCTGAAAAATTTTACAATTCCTGGCAGAGTATAAAAATGTGTATTACATGGAGAATTACACAGTTTCTGGCAGAGTTGAATAATATATATTTCCTGGGGAATTAAACAATTCATGGCAAGGTATAATAATATTTAGTTCCTTGAGAATTACACAATTCCTGGCGAGTATAAAAATGTGTATTACATGGAGAATTACACAGTTCCTGGCAGAGTTGAATAATATATATTTCCTGGAGAATTACAAAATGTAATAATTTACAGAAATTGAACTGCAGTTTCTGGGAGGAATGTCAACACTGCCCTGGCTAATTTGTTTACATGTCTACAAGAAACTGCAGTACATTTTTTTAATAAAGTTTTTTTTTGTATTCCTTGCTATCATTGATTTCTCATCTAATTATTTTTCCTTACTTTATAGATGATATTATTGCGCTTTTCTTTTTAGATGATAATATTGCTCTTTTCTTTCTAATGCATCATTCATTTCTTAATTTTCTGCCAATTTTGTCTTTTTATCAATTTTCATTTTCTTTTGTGAAAAACCTTTTTTTTGTATTCAGTAAAGAAAATAAAATTTGAGAAACTAATTTATCTTCTTCTGCCAAGGGCTTATGATTGATTTAAAGTTAGCCGAGGATAAATAACCTGAGAACTTAAATACTTAGTTAGATAATAAAAATTGTATGATAAAGATAATAACCAAGGAGTACGGAATAGAAGGGAGATACAACTGACGCGGTTCGCCCAACCATATGATTATACATGCTTTGTATAAGAAATATTCAGAATAGGTTATGGTATACACAGTAATTGTACATCAGACAAATAATTCTTTTACAAAGGAAGTACTGTCTGCAATCATATGGTAGGGCGAACCGCGTCAGTTATATCTCCCTTCTATTCCTTACTCCTTGAATAAAAACAATAAAAATAATTTTAATAATAATGAAATTGTTTACCTTGCAATAAGATAAAGTGGCCTATCAAGGGAATCCAGCAACTTTATTCTAGCCTAAAAAACATTTGCTTTGTTTTTATCTAAAGAAACTTTTTAAATTGTCTGCGATCGGAACTTTTTTGTTGTGTATTTTTAATCTAAAATACTTGATCTCGATATTAAATGTGGGTACTTATGAATTGGAGGATCAATGTTTAATACCGAAATTCTCAACACAAAAGTTCTGACTTTTGAAAATACAAATATTTCTAATTTAAACTAACTGAAATGCTAAAAACAACCTAGCCTCCCGCTAAAAAAAAATGATTTTGACGGATAAACTATCATCCCTGGCTTCCCAGGGTGTTGGAGAACTGCATTATTTTTGATTTTTATTACGGTTTGGTTGGCTATATTTATTCTGACTCTATGCTTCTATTTAAATGAAGTTGTAATATCTGTTTGTCTGTTTGAATTTCCGATCATAACTCATGAACCCCTTGACCAATTTGCCTCAAATTTTAAATTGGGGGAAATCTTAGGAGAACCACGGAATGTGCTTAGCTTGGTTTTTTGAATATAAGTTAATTACATCCACTTTTCTAGAGAAATAGCTATAATCTTAATTTACGACTAAGCGCGGGTAAACGGCGGGAGTAACTATGAGTACCCTGGGCAACGCTAGGTTCTCAAGCTAGTATAAAATAAATCAGAAGAATTTGTTTCATATATTAAGAATCAGAAAAAAACACTGATTTTATCAGAAAAAAGTTTTAAAANGTTGTTTTAGGAGTTTAATTGGGGGGGGGATGGAGAATGGAAGTACGCAAAGTTGTATAATTAAGGAGTGTACCTGGAAGGACTCCAGGTAGTATGATTAAGGAGTATACCTGGAAGTACTCCCGATTGTTTGATAAAGGACTATACCTGGAAAGGTTGGACTCCAGATTGCATTTTTAAGGAATATACCCAGATTGTATAATTAAGGAATAAGGAATATACCTGGAAAGTTTGGACTCCAGGTTGTATTTTTAAGGAAAATACCTGGAAAAGTTGGACTCCAGGTTGTATGATTAAGGATTATACCTGGAAGGGTTGGACTCCAGATTGTATGATTAAGGAATATACCTGGAAGGGTTGGACTCCAGATTGTATGATTAAGGAATATACCTGGAAGGGTTGGACTCCAGGTTGTATGATTAAGGAATATACCTGGAAGGGCTTGGACTCCAGATTGTATGATTAAGGAATATACCTGGAAGGGTTGGACTCCAGATTGTATGATTAAGGAATATACCTGGAAGGGTTGGACTCCAGGTTGTATGATTAAGGAGTATACCTGGAAGGGTTGGACTCCAGATTGTATGATTAAGGAATATACCTGGAAAGGCTGGACTCCAGATTGTATGATTAAGAAATATACCTGGAAAGGTTGGACTCTAGGTTTTATTATTAAGGAATATACCTGGAAGGGTTGGACTCCAGATTGAATGATTAAGGAATATACCTGGAAAGGTTGGACTCTAGGTTTTATTATTAAGGAATATACCTGTAAAGGTTGGATTAAGGAGTATACCTGGAAAGGTTGAACTCCAGGTTGTATGATTAAGGAGTATACCTTAAAAGTTTGGACTCCAGGTTGTATTTTTAAGGAATATACCTTAAAAGTTTGAACTCCAGGTTGTATTTTTAAGGAATATACCTGAAAAGGTCGGACTCTAGGTTTTATGATTAAGGAATATACCTGGAAGGGCTGGACTCCAGGTTGTATGATTAAGGAATATACCTGGAAGGGCTGGACTCCAGATTGTATGATTAAGGAATATACCTGGAAGGGCTGGACTCCAGGTTGTATGATTAAGGAATATACCTGGAAAGGCTGGACTCCAGGTTGTATGATTAAGGAACCAACTCCAGGATATCCGTCTAATCCCAGTTCTATAAAGAACAGATATATTTATATGAAAGTACATGTTTTCCAATCACATAAAGCTAAGCAAATGTTTAATGATTTTCTGAGATATTTTTTGTAATCTTTATAAACAGTATTCTGAGTAATAAATGTAATTGGATGGATCTTGTAAGATATTTAGTTAGTTGGATAGATAGATAGATAGATATATATATAGATAGATAGATAGATAGATAGATAGACAGACAGGTAGAAAGATAGACAGTTAGAAAGATAGATGTTAAGATAGTAAGATAGTTAGTTAGTTAGTTAGTTAGATAAATACATAGAAAGCTAGTTAGGTAGATAGTTATAGGTAGTTATATAGATAGATAGATCAATTAAAAGATGGCTAGATAATTAGATAGATAGATAGATAGATATGAAGTTAAATAAAAAGATTGATAGATAGATAGTTTGGGTTCAATCTTGTAAAAGCTATTTGGCAGAAAAAGGGAATTATCTGGAAAAATACAATTCTAAATACACTTTACAATCTTTTGATTGGAAAGTTGGACAAATAATACAATTCACTTGAGACCTATTTTACATTTACTTCTCTTTATGTAGTATTGTAATTTTCAATACCAATTCATTTTTAGTTCTTTCCACCTTACTCCCTTTTTCAATTCCACTTTAATTCACTTTATTCCCTAATAGACTTTATTCCCATCTTATTGACTTTATTTCCATCTAATAGACTTTATTCACATTTAATAGACTGTATTACCATCTTTTAGACTTAATTCACATCTAATAGACTTTATTCCCATCTAATAGACTCTATTCCCATCTAGAAGACTTTATTCCCCTCTTTTAGACTTTATTTCCATCTAATAGACTTTATTCACATTTAATAGACTTTATTCCCATCTAATAGACTCTATTCTCATCTAGAAGACTTTATTCCCCTCTTTTAGACTTTATTCCCATCTAATAGACTTTATTCACATTTAATAGACTTTTCTCCATCTAATAGACTTTATTCACATCTAATAAACTTTATTTCCATCTAAAAGACAATATTAACAAATAATAGACTGTATTACGATCTTTTAGACTTTATTCACATCTAATACTTTATTCCCATCTATTAAACTTTATTCCCATCTAATATACTTTGTTCCCAAAGATAGTAGATAAGTCCCCTCCCCAATTAATTCGAATTCAACGGATTGGACGGAAGAGAATGTGAACGATTTTTATAAAAAAAGAGTAAAAAGCCATTAGACCATCTTTAATGAATAGGATAAAAAGTTTAAATACGTAGATTAAAAAGAATCACTTCACTTCTCAAAATAAAACTAGTTCAACTACTTCTTGCTAATTATTAGATCTGGTCCCTATTTTAGTCTTAAAGGGGATTTTCCAAAGCAGGTTTACAACTTTACCTATAATAAATGGAGTGAATATATCAAGACTGAGAAGAGCCTGCTGACCGGCTCCCACACTGCCAGTTATTTTCTCACCCTGTAATATATACATGATGTACTGTGCACTGTATCATGTACTGTAGTTCATGAGTGTACTGCAAGTATATTAGTTTACCAAAACTGAACAGAAAACTTAAGAATTGTGGATTTCGAGATCAATGCTTGATCTCCTCTTTATGTCAATCTCAAGATTACTTTTAACCTTAGGTTTGTATCCAGGAATGTTTCTATAAGTCTCCTGAATCCCGAACAGTCAATCAGAAGCCAGGAAATTTGAAATTTTGGGCTCATTGGTCAGAATCCGGTAGGGATATCCAAACATAGAGAAAAAGAGCGGATTAGGCAGAATTTAAAAGTGTCCACGGTGAATATTCAGATCGGTATTAAGGGTATCCAATTCTAAAGTTTTCAGCCCCGTATTTAAATCTAGATATATACAGTTTAACTCAATACATCGGAAAAATCGCAAGAATTTTACAAAATGTCGTATCCTTAACTTTCTGATAGTGGAATGCTGAAGATATTAAGTTTTTTAATTAAATGATTATATGGAGCTCTTTAAAATTTTCCCCGCATATTCATGATTATTTAATTATTTTTACAATTACTTTTACGTTTAATAGTAAAAATCCCATTGAAAAATTGTCAAGACGACATTTGATAAATTCTTTCGATGTTTCCGAAGTACTGGAGTAAACTGTAGTATATACCTGTACTGTGTACTGTATACTGCAGGGTAGAAGGTTTATAACAGTACAAGGAGGTATAATACTGATTAAATGAGCCGGCTGAATCCACGCCTGGAATATTAAAAATAAAATAAAATCTTTGATATTTCAAATAATAATAACAGTTTACTGTAACCCTCAGAGCGTAAATAGGGAGGGGTCCTGGGCCCCTGAAGGATAAATTAGATTTAAATACCTTGGAGCTGGGTGTAATAGGAACAGATTCGTCAGGAAACCCTTTCACTCTAATAAAATAGAATAAATAAAAAAATATTTCCTAAAACAATGGGAATAAGTGAAACTAAAATAACATTTTATTCCATAAAAGATACGCACATAATTTGTTCTTGAATGATTTTAATGGAAATCAATACTTTTTTTTTGATAAATAGTAGGAAAAACATGACAGTTGTTTTAATTCACCCTTTCCACCAAATCTTGGGTTATCATTAAAAATATATATCCCTTGAAGAATGCAAAGATGGCAATGACTGAATCACAACGAAACCCTTGAAACGTGTATCTTATCAATAATATGGAAGATATTGTCGTATTTCTAGTTTTGAAACAGTTTAAACCGGATAATTCCCTAGTATTTTTTCTACAGTAGAAATGCGCAAATAATTTTTGTAGAGAACCTACAATAGAAAATAATCAGATTCTAAAATTATGAACATCAGACTAAGCTGTATAAAACACTGCTTTCTTTGCATGAAGTATCACTTTGAATTACGCTTACAGAGCTGGGAACTTTAGAACGTACAACCTTTAATCCAAACTACTTAATCCGAATATCCACTGTGGAAACTTTTAATTTTAGTCCTTAATCCACTCTTTTTTCTCTCTTTGGATATCCGTACATTGATTTCTCCAATGAGAGTGCAGGAATATAGTTCGTACATTGTATTGACCAATGACAGCCTTGAAAATAAATTCTATCCCATGAGAGAAATCCGCAATTTCTAACAAATAAAGAAGAATTTCTTGTCGGCCATTTTGTAAATTTATCGGCGAAGAAAAATATTTAATGAAACGCTTCAGATTCTTTTTTAACCAATTTTACTAATGTATTGATAAATAAATGGGTGAGAAATTAAATAAAGGCCCTTCTAGTCAAGAAAACCAACAAAACTGGTGTTCCTAGAATCAAATTTGTTGATCTAAATATTTAATCTCGAGACTAACATAATCTCTAGATTATGTTAGTCTCGAGATTAGCAAAAAGAGAGGATTAAGTATTAATCCTGATATCCACCATTCTAAAGTTCCCAGCTCAGTTCTTTTGACTATACAAAAAAGTGTGAGATTCACATAAATTTACATGGATTTAGAAAACTGATTTATGATGAAAGATAAAGGAAGAAAGATATAAATAATCAAATAAATATTTTCTATAACTAAAATACAGAGCATTGACAGAAATATCAATAGTTCAGAAGTGAAAAATCAATTGAATTGATTAAGTGTGCAGTCAATTACAGAGTGGTTTGATAAAAACTCAGATATCAAATCAAAAAAAGTCATTTAAGATTCATATCTAAAAAGGTAATGCTAATATGGCAATGACCGCAACCCTTTCAAACAATGTTTGAATTGTCGCAAAACAGGAGTGTAAGCTAGCGTACTGTGTGAATTTAACACTCCTGACGTTACATGCACTGCATACCTTGAAAATAAAAAAAAGTTTCAAAAATTCGACTGTAAATAATTATTTTCTACGTCTTCTATAAAGTAAATTTTAATATTTTTAAAATATAAAACAGATTGGAAATCAAGAATTACAGGGTGCTGTTGTGAATCAGAACCATAGATAAATAAATAAACATAGATAGCTTATGTACGCAAAATCACCAAGAATTGTACAGTCCATGAGTAAAAATCAATGTTTTCTATTTGTGCATAATTTTGCATATTTTTTCTCTTTTCTTTTGGAAACCTGTATTTTCAAAAATTTCCAACAAAAAAAATTTATTTAAACAAATTTAAACTACACCATTTATATATGTATTTATATCTTTGTGTGTGAATAAATCTTTATAATAATAATAATTCTTGAAGGTAATAAGGGTTTATGATTTGCAATGCTTCAATTTCAAAGCTTACCACTAAGCACTACATGCTACTGCTACGCTTAATGCCTATATAAGTTCTGTCAGATAATTTTTAAAAATACCTGCAGACAGCAACACAGAAACGAAAAGAATCCAGTTGTTCACTCGTCTTGTGTTTTGACTCATGCATTTCTGAATGAAGGAGACTGATAAAGGCGGTCCAATAGATAATTAGATTTTAATTTTGATAGGAATGAATATTTTCTTCAAAAATCACTGTTTCCCTATATTTAGACCCCCCTCCCCCCCGAAGTTAGGTATTTTGCATGGAGCGGAAACATATTTTTAAGGAGTTTTATTCGCTAAATTAAGGGAAAATATATGAATTTCGGGTAAAAACAATAAAACTTTTTGGTAAATGATATCAAAAGGATGAAAAAAATTGCCTTTTCATGTCCGGTCTTAACATTATATGAATAAATGATAAAGAATGAATATACTCACCAAGTGTATTATTAGAGTGATGAAGAATATGGCACCAATGGATTGGGGTCTTACTAAACTCCCACTGAACATAACATGAATTAAAAATTCTTTAAAATATAGGTACTAATAAGCTAGCATATTGACCCTCTAGTATTGTACCTGATGTAAGCTGGCAATGACTGATAGGCTAGTATATTTACCCAGCAGTATTGTACCTGATGTAAGCTGGATATGACTGGTCTAGCTAGCATATTGACCCAGCAGTATTGTACCTGATGTGAGCTGAATATGACTGATAAGCTAGCATATTGACCCAGCAGTATTGTACCTGATGTGAGCTGAATATGACTGATAAGCTAGCATATTGACCCAGCAGTATTGTCCCTGATGTGAGCTGGATATGACTGATAAGCTAGCATATTGACCCAGCAGTATTGTACCTGATGTGAGCTGGCTATGACTAATAAGCTAGTATATTTACCCAGCAGTATTGTACCTGATGTGAGCTGGATATGACTAATAAGCTAATATATTGACCCAGCAGTATTGTACCTGATGTGAGCTGGATATGACTGATAAGCTAGCATATTGACCCAGCAGTATTGTACCTGATGTGAGCTGGATATGACTGGTCTAGCTAATATATTGACCCAGCAGTATTGTACCTGATGTGAGCTGGATATGACCGGTCTAGCTAGTATATTAGCCCAGCAGTAGAGAAGGGGTAGCGGAGTGCGTGCTCCAGGTTTAACCTCAATCTCTTTAGTATCTGCTACTCGCAAAGCTATGTTTTCTAAACATGACAAAATTCTTTATCTCCATAATCTGTAATTTGTTATAAACTGAATTTATTAATATCTGTTAATAAACTGGGCATTCAAAAGTAAGCAGTCGAAGATTTTGAAATAAAAGAGAAAAAAAAACCTGTAAAATGTATGCATTTTAAAATGAAAATAAAAAATGTAAGCGTATCTAAATCTAAATGTACTGCTGAGTTATAGTGCTGAAAACCCTATTATTTTCTTTTTTTGGAGTTGACTATACATACAATACATTTAATATTCTAAATTACCTAATCTTATTCTAAAGGGTATATCCAGTAGATTTTCTATCTCTAAAGCTGATCGGACAGCTATCAGCTTTCTAGCAGATCCTTCTGTATATATTACATTATTCATTCCAAAATTCCAAATGTTGTTTAAGACTCAGCTAAACAAAAATGCCTGAACCTGACGCCCAAAACAGAATTGTTTGAATCAGAGCTTATTAGGATATGAAAACAGTTTTTGGGATTTCTTTGCGAGATATCAGATATTTTGTATTCGATGGATTAACCAAGTGGCAACTTGCCAAATGTGCAATTTCCAAGCGGCAACTTTCCAAGTCTGACCTAGCTGCGGCGCTTGGCCCCTTAGCCTATTCTAGCTGTAGCTGCTTGGGAAATTGTAAATTTGGGAAGTTGCCACTTGGGAAAAAGTCACTTTGGAAGTCGAAATTGGGGAAATTCTTTTGAAAAATAACTAACACATAGGTGTTTTGAGAGCAAAAGGTAAGTTAAGGATTTGCATATCTGGAAAGTGTATACAGGAAGCCGAAATGTTGCGGATCCGGATCCTAAGCACTCCTTCTAAGCTAAGATTGGTTTACTTAATACTCTTATTTTCTCAAAATTAGTTCGGTGTTCCAATATTAGGATACTTTATAGGAATTGAACAGAAATATCACGAGGGGAAACTAATTAATGAAAATTGGACATAAACTAATTTTGATCAAATTAAAAATGGATTAACAACATGAATCAGATGAGAATGATTAATATTAAACAATGGGAAGAAAAGGTTTATCCATAATTTAAGAGATTATAAGATTATTTAAAGGGACTCTTGACATATTTTTAGATGACTCCAATTAAGAGAGCTACATCCCCGATTTACAATTGATAGCCATTAAACTAATAACAGAGTGTAACCATATAGGAAGATATCACCGTTAAACTTAAAAAATGTTCTTTTCTCTTCAGCATCATTGCATGATCTGCATTTCTGCAAGTAAATCACTTCTAAAGAGAAACCACGCATGAAAATAAATAAAAATCAGCTATATCAACTATAAATAATTATAATTATAATAATAATTATACTTTAAATAATAATTACAATAACAATAACAATAACAATAACAATAACAATAATAATAATAATAATGTGTATATTCCTAGAGATATCTGGAAAACTAGTCTGGCCGGGGGAATCTCAGTTAATGAATCAGTTCTCCTCTCCGCATGCACATTTCGGAAAAAAGTTCCAACCTGTAGAAAAATCTTAATCTTAATCTCATTGATGATTAGCCTACGAAAACCATAAAAAAATCTTAAAAGTAATTTCAAGTGACCTCCATATATAGTGTGGCATGGCCGATTCAAAACGGTACCCTTTAAACCTTTATCTGATTAATCATGTGGAAGATATTGTCGTTTTTCTAACATGAAATGCCTTCTTGATCCGACAAAGGTTTTAATGTGACTCTGTTGTAAATCGAACATGGCACTCTTTACTAATGAAGGTTCACATGAAATTACGTAATTTAACAATAATTTCCTCTTTAATATATCATTTGTTGAACACTAATTTGCCGGTGTGAAACAAAGTTGTTCTCTCTAATTGGATTCATTAATTTCAAATTAGGAAAATGTCCCTCTGGGGGGACACCCAGGTGGATTATAATTATTTATAATTTCCTTCACAATGATAATTTTATTCCCTGTCGAGAGAAACATCGACATTACCTACAGAAACTTATTCCTTTTCGACAGAAACTAATTTATTATTGACAGAAACTTATAAATTATTGACAGAAACTAATAAATTATTGACAGAAACTTATACTTTATTGACAGAAACTTATACTTTATTGACAGAAACTAATATATTATTGACAGAAACTTGTACTTTATTGACAGAAACTAATATATTATTGACAGAAACTTGTACTTTATTGACAGAAACTTATAAACTATTGACAGAAACTTATACTTTATTGACAGAAACTTATAAATTATTGACAGAAACTTATACTTTATTGACAGATACTTAACCTTTTTGAAGGAAACTTATACCTTATCGACAAGAAACTTTATTGTATCGACAGAATCTTGTCTATCTTGATTGGAAACTTAACTTTAACGACAGAAATTTGGCAATCTCAATGGGTACCTTTACCATATCGACAGGAAACTTGGCAATCTTGACAAGAAAATTTTCCTTATCGACAGAAACTTGGCAATCATAACACGAAACTTTGCCTTATCCATAGAAACTTGGCCATCTCGACAGGAAACTTGACCTTATCGAAAGAAACTTGACCTTTTTGAGAAAAACTTGGCAATCTCCACAGGAACCTTTATGCGACAGGAACCTTACCTGGTCGACAAAACATGAACATCTCGACAGAAATTTACACTTCGCGACAGGAAACTTTACCTTATCGACGGAAAGTTGTTTACACTCCTTCCAGCCTTCTACCCTAACGACAAGTAGATGTGTGTCCGACTTGTGTGTGTTCTCATGCCGAATCTTGGATCTAGAATAAATTAAATTGATTTAAAAGGGACTGTCCTTGTAATTTTAAGTTATCCTTTCATTATAAGGATGGCATGCTTGATTCACGATGGTATCCTTGAAAAACTTGTATCTAATTAATGATGTGGAAGATAACGTCGTTTTTTGGTCTTGAAAAGTGTTTGATTATAAAAATTTCTCCAGTGCCTGAAGTAAGAAATGCGCAAGTAACTTTTGTTAGTCCAACCACAAAAAAATAATCAGTTTTCAAAAACAAAACAAATAGCCGTCTAGTTCAGGCTTGATCAAACAAAGCTTCTGTGGTTACCGTTGTGAATCGGACACGGGACAACCCACTCGATGCACTTTATATTACGTTTACAGTCCCTTTAAAGGGAACAATTTAAATACAGATACTGGTTGTTTTCATTTTTTGGTCTATCATCATAAACACACAAGTATTAAAAAAAAAGATCATTTTGACCAAAACCATATTTTCTAGATTCCTTTCCTTCTTGTTTTCCCTAATTTATCATGTTTTCCCAGTTTCTTTTGCACACATTAAAACATGTGCTATTTAATAAAAAAGTCGAAAAATTTTCCCCCTATTTTCCCCATGTTTTTTACATAAAAATAAAGAAAAAACAAGTCGGATGAAGAGAAAAAATGAATTACAACATATTTAATCCCAAATAAATAAGTAAATAAGTAAATAAATGAATAAATGAATAAATCAATAAATCAATAAATCAATAAATCAATAAATCAATAAATGAATGAATGAATGAATAAATGAATTAATTAATTAATTAATGAATGAATGAATGAAGTATAATAATAATAATAGAGGCAAAATAAATGAATAAATGAATTAAGAATAAATTCAGTTCTTCCTAAGAATGAATGTATAGCTAAGTGAAGTAAGAACGGAAGTATTACATACAGATTATACAGATTATACAAATGTCTTCATGAATACTAAGTGAAAAGCCTGTATGAATAGTATATAACAAGATGTTAAAGGGGCTGTAAGCGTAATTTCAAGTGACCAAAAGCCTGTATGAATAGTATATAACAAGATGTTAAAGGGACTGTAAGCGTAATTTCAAGTGACCCTTCATGCAAATATGACAATGCCAGATTTACAACGTAGTTCTTTTTTCTGTGAGTATCTCCATTGCTTCTACAAAACAAGACCGCAAATGAAGATCAATTTAAAGAAAAAATATAAGTATCTAGTTAATACTTGATCAGATAAACCATTTAAGGGTACTGTTTAAAATCGGGCATTGACATCTCTGCATAAAGTGTCGCTTGAAATTACGCTTACAGACCCTTTTAATGTTTATATGAGAGGTCACCGATCAAAATTTGAGGCAAATCGTTCCAGAGGTTTCAGAGTTATGATCGGACAAACAAAGATAGCAATGCCCGATTTACAATGGTACGAAACCTTAATCTGATCAAAATTGTGGAAAAAACTTTCGAAGAGAAACCGCAAAAGAATAGAAAACATAGATATCTCATCCGTACGTGATCAGAAAACATAGATATCTCATCCGTACGTGATCAGAAAAAGCTTTCAAGGTTACTGTTGTAAATCCATCTTTCATGGAGGCTCCCATAAAATAACGCTAATAGTCCCTTTAAAGTAAAAAAGTATCTCCACCTAGTTTTGAAGGCAAAAGAAACAGTTTCTCCATCTTTAACCTAAACACAGAAAGGAGAAATTAATATATTTTTATGAAAAATCATTTTGGTAAACGGAATTCTAACGGCATTAAGAACTTGTTAGTAAATGTCCAGTTGTTCTTTTTACTCCCCCCCCCAAAAAAAAATGTAGCCCTGGACAAACATGAAATGTTTTACTTTAGAAAAAATATTGTTGAATATTTTGAAACTTGGATCCTAATATTAGATTCAAGAATCTTCCCCGCTTCTTTAATCACGATTTGAGGGAAACCGGTCAAAAGTATTGATCAGACATCCAAATAAAACAAAGAAACAAGCAGACAAACAGAGATTACCACGTTATTCAAACATAAACATTCATATATTCACCTGTCTCCATGTTCTATCCTGATCATAATCCATCTCAGACAAGTCTCTGACAAATAAAAAATAAATAAAAATAAAAAATAAAATAAAAGTTTTTCAAAGAAAGTTTTTAGTCTTAGAGTGGAAAATATTTCTAAAGGAAGAAATATATTTGTATTAATTCTAAGAAATAAAATAATCATACAAAATTTGAGAAAAAAATTGAAGAGTAGCCCTCACAACAGACTGCAAACTAATGCAAAAAAACTTTTTAGAATTTAATCAAATGTCCATTTCTTTTTATTTTTTTTTGCGCTTTTGGTGAAACAAGGAAAATTTGTATTTTTTTGCATAGAATACATTATACATATAATAGTATAATAATAAAATACGAAGTACGTCTATTCATCAGTAAAGAATTAGCGTACATTATCCCTTTATACACTATAACCTCATTAAAATAAATAACAAATAACTTAAAAAACTATTACTAAAAGTATATATTAAGTAACTATAGGTAGGGGTGTTAATCGTTTTTGAAAACGATCGTTTGTTGTTTCATTTTTCAATCGTTTTCAAAAGCGATCGTTTCGTTTTCGGAAAAAACGATCGTTTTTAAAAACGACCCACTCGTTTTGAACTTTTAGAAAACAAATAACGATCGTTTTTGAAAACGATCGTTTTCATAAAAACAATTTGCGAGCGTTTTTTGTACGAATGTTTTTTAAAAATCGATCACTTTTTAAAAAACGATCGTTTTTGAAAAAAAAATTTTATTTATTCGCTTAAAATTGTATTCAATGTTTCAAGATTTAAGCCGGCGTTCAATTGAAACCGGTTTTGGGCGGATTTGAGACGCGGCTTGAATTCATTAAATTCTGACAGCTTGGATTAAACAACACTGCTATGATCAGCAGCTCCTGGCTTATCATGGCTCATAGCTGGCTCATCAAAGATCCAGTTTTAAATCTCTCTTTTCTTTAGAAAACAATTAAAACATACTTTCGAAATGACTTCGTTGTAACTAATAAATATGCCTCTACCTGGATCGGGTATATTTAGAGTCTGTGCTGACCAACTTAGGCAAGAACCAGAGGGTGCATCCTGGTAGATAGATAGATAGATAAAGTAAAATGTAAAGATATATATTTAGAAGATAAATAAGAAGATATATATATATTATATATAGAAGGGGTTTTAAGAACCAGAGGGTGCATCCTGGTGTACATAGATGATAGCTATAAAGATATATATTAAAATGATAAAAACGTTAATCTAATGGTTGAATTTAAATATAGCTATAAAGATATATATATTTAGAAGCTAAATAAGTGGATATATATATAATATATAGAGGGTGCATCCTGGTAGATAGATAGATAGATATATATTAAAATGATAAAAAAGAGGATATATATAAAAAATTTGTACATCAATAAACTGGAAAAATAATCCTTATTAGATAGATAGATAAATAGATAGATTAAGCGAAAAGATAGAAATGTAAAAAACATAAAAACCGTATTTCCTAAGTAAATATATTTTGGTTACCTGTGTTATTGTACAGAGCATAGGGTACAAAAGGAATTCTTCTTCTTATACCGGGAGTACACGCCTCATACACCTTTAATAGTATACTACAGTATACTACAGTACAGTACAGTACAGTACAGTACAGTACAGTACAGTACAGTACAGCACAGTATATTTTCATCAACTCGTCAACTCATCAACTAATCTTTCACAGTGGTTAAATATTATTTTTGAAGCAAAAAGGGCCGGGCCTAAATAAAAAACACTGCTAAAAAATTGAAACTTAACCCTTTTCGACCCTCCGACTTACCCTCCTGTTTCCCTGTTCGTCCTCCTGAAAGCACTCCTCGTCCTTGTAACCGTCCTCTCCTCTATAGTAGTCCTCACCCCAGTTCGTCCGGACAACACGGTACAACTCTACACCAAAACAAATATTTCCAAACCAAAGATTTCCAAATAAACATTAACAACTCTGAAATATTTCGTAACACCACCGATCAAAACATTACCAAACCAAATATGTCCGTCCCAAACTTAACCAAGCCAAACATATCCGCCAAACATATCAATCCCAATCATAACCAAACCAAACATCTGCCAAACATGTCTATCTAAAAAAGAGCCAAAAATATCTACTCCCAAATTAACCAAAAATGTTCAATCGAAACATTAACAACTATGACAGATTTCGTAACACTAGAAACATTACAATCCCAAATATTACCAAACCCAATATATCCATCCCAAATATTATAAAACCCAATATGTTCATCCCAAATATTATGAAACCCAATATGTCCATCCGAAATATTATAAAACCCAATATGTCCATCCCAAATATTACCAAACCCTATATGTCCATCCCAAATATTATCAAACCCAATATGTCTATACCAAATATTACCAAACCCAATATGTCCATCCCAAATATTTTTTTTTAACTTTATCAATTTATTTATTTATAATTTTTTTATGAAACAAATTAATTGATACATGTATTTAATGCAGAATGCAGAAAACTATTTTTCCAATCTTCTTGTTTCCTGGCTGTCCTGTTTTGCTCATTCAATTAGCTGCATACCCCCGCCCCCCAGGAGGGTTAATATGCAGTTTCGAGAGCTGATCAGGCAATTCGTAGTATTTCAATATCAACTCTTGAGTTTCTATATTTATTCCAGTTGTTTTTGATATCGGCCATCTATGCAGGTTTATTGCTGACATTGTTGTGTAATGAGAACTTCCCTTTATCAGCTGCATTACATGTATCAGTGTCTTGCAGTAATTTAGAAAGAAATTAAAAGACCTCCTAGCCTTAACTGCATTCGGCTAGGTTCAAGGTGATTTGGGTGTCCCCTAGGAAAGGAATGTCCATCTCAAATATTATAAAACCCAATATGTCCATCCCAAATATTACCAAACCCAATATGTCCATCCCAAATATTACCAAACCCAATATGTCAATTGTTTGGCTAAAATAACCAACCAAAAATGTCCACTAATTAAACTTAAACATTTCAAAAGCAAACATTTTAAACTTAATATTTAGAACTGGAACTAAATATCATTCAAACATTTAAAAAGCTTACAACAATTAAACTCATAAAAGTACAATAAAAAGACAAAACTATTTAAATATCTTTATCTATAAAATAATAACTATCCTCTAAAATTTATTAATGTAATGTTTGAAACATAAAATAAACAAAACTCTGACAACATTATCTAACTTTAAAATATTTAGATTTTAAGTTAAAAAAAGTAACTTTTCCAAAAATATTATAGCTTGCCTAGCATAGCTGAAGTTATGTTTAGATTAATGACGTCATCAGATTTAATATGTAAACTTAGTTTATTCCTCCGCCGGCTAAGCCTAAAGTAAACAAATAAACATTAAACTGAACTCCAGTTGTTTGTCTCTCATGATGTGTGTCCGTCTGTCAGTCAAGAAGTGTGTCTGCCTGTGAGTGATGATGAATGTCAGTTTGTCAGTCATAAAAGTCACTAAGTGTTAGTCATGAAGTGTGTCATGTTGTGTGTCAGCAATGATTTATATGTGTCCACCTGTTAGTCCAAAAGACTGCACAAGTCCAAAGTTCTACAAAAGGTTCCCAAGCCGACAGCTCTCTACAATAAATTTTTTTTTTTTGATGCTCATGAAAACTGAAATGAAATCTATTAATCAGAAATATTTATAATAATATCGCTGTCAACCTTAGAAAGACTGTAAGCGTCAAGTGCACTTGAATGTCCCTCCAAATGATATCACAATGTCATTATTGTGGCAAGCTTGGATAAAATATAATGTCAAGTGCACTTGAATGTCCCTCCAAATGATATCACAATGGCATTAATGTGGCTAGCTTGGATAAACTCTAATGTCAAGTGCACTTGAATGTCCCTCCAAATGAAGTCACAATGTCAATAATGTGGCTAGCTTGGATAAATTGTAATGTCAAATAATTCCTAAAAAAGAATAATAGGCTGCACTTGGAAATCCCTAGTCAGTCCCTTTAAATTAAAAAATCATCAGAGCTGGGAACTTTTGAGTTAGTTACTCATAATCTTAAGCACTTGATCTTGATATCCACTGAAGGCACCCTTAATTTGAGGAATGATGCTTAATCTCTTTACTTCAATGCGGATATCAAATAAAGATTAAATTAATCTGCAGATTAACAAAGTATTGTGATTAACCAGTTTCCAGCTCAGACATTATATTAAACATATTTTTGGAGAAAATAATTATTAATTGGAATATTTGCCCACAATGACAAGCATAAAAAAGTTTTAAGTTTCAACAATTTAAAAATATATATATCTTCAAAATAAAATAAAATATTAACAACATTATATCGTGACAAAGAAAAATAAATGTTTTTAAAGAATAAGATGAATAAAGAGAATAAAAGAAACCTATTTTATCCTTCATAAATAAGATGAATAAAGAGAATAAAAAGAAACCTATTAATAAAGCTAATAACCAAAGAACCCTTTTTCCGTATAAAGGCCGAGCAGCGATCCCCTTTAAAAACCAAATCACAGTACAGAATCTGCTAGTACAGTACGGTACAAGTCAACCTGTTGTAGTAAGAAGCTGATATATTAGCGTGAAGCTCTCCGTCACCATTATACTGCTGCTTCAGCTGCGGTTGACTCAAACTAGAAAAGCTTTTTTATAAAGGATTGTAACAGTGAGAACCAGAAAAATCTGGAATAGGAATACGACATCAAGCCTCAATTTATGACTTTCAATTGTCCCATAAACATGGAACAGTGGAAAAAGACCCATTCCAGAGAAAATCTGCACCAACTCTTTCTGTTTATGCTGAGAACTTTTTTGTACCAAACAAGCGTGCTCCGCTAGGCTAGGCACGCTTTGGTATAAAAGGGTTCTCAACTCTTTTATGCATTAGTCTATCCTGTAATATTCATGCTACCAGATTATCAATAGAAATTGTTTAAAGGTATATCTTTCTTTTTACTCAGAAACAATAGGTTGGATAGATATGAGATAGTTTAAGACAGAGTTCTAGAGTTTTAGATTCATTATCATTAAAGAGATTTAAAGAGTTTATTATTTGATTAAAGTGGTATAAACCCTAAGAAATCAGTTTATTTTGAGAGTTAAGGGTTTAGTCAAATCCACTAATAGTGGATTTTCAAGTTACAAATAAACTAAATTTTGTGGTTCTTACAGTATTAAAAATTCACATAAAGGAACACGACTAAGTAATTGTTAATTTTCATATTCACTCACTTTACTATGTAAAAACATAAAATGGAATTTCTTCAACTAATTTGAGCATTTAAGTGCGAAACAGTTTTTGCTCTGATTTTTAGTTTAGCTATTTTTTTTTGGTCGAAAACAACTAGAAAAAGTAAAAATCACAGCAAAAACTTGTTTCGCACACATGATACCCATTGCAATAACGTGCATAGTTTTATTCAATTGTACTCAACTTATTTTTCAGAAGAGGTCGATAAAGTTACTTTATCACCCGGTTACTTTATATTACCTAAGTTCAATGAGGGGGCAATCTGCGTCTTTACAGTCGTCAATAATAACCAGATTCACGCTCGAGAATTTCAACTAAAAATATTTGTTTTTAGATTTATGAATGGTACTTTTTACAAAATTGGGAGAGACCTGATATTGATAAAATTCCCTTTTATCCGTAACCCACCCCCTTTTTCTACAAAAGTCAAAATGCAGCGATAAAAACTTACAACATTTCAAAAAAAGGGCATTAAAAAAAGTTATAAAAAATCTTCCCTTTTTAAGGGCATTGGGCAAGTAGGTTTCTTAGAAAATAAACCAATGGAAATAATTGAGAATTGAAGCAGAAGAGCTCTCTAGTTCTTTTCTCCAAACTGAAAGTTTAAGTTCCATTCAATCTTTGAAAGAAGTAAAAAAGTTTTGAACAGAATGTAAAGTGTCTTTATTATATTTTCTTTATATTTAACATTTATTTAACATTTTGTCTAAACTAAAAACTACTTTTAAAATATTTAAAAAAATGGAAAAATGAATTCAAGATCAAAGAAGAGTCAAAAAAGGATTGTTTAAACTGTGAGACTATGAGACCATTTTAAAGTTTCATAAGTATATTTTAAAATATGTTATTTTCTATATGTTTTCTTGAAACAAATGTAAATATTTGATTTGAATTTTATTAAGTTGTAAAACAGCATGGATACACATAAACATAGAAGTCAAGAGAAGCTGCCCATTAGAAAACAGCATGGATACACATAAACATAGAAGTCAAGAGAAGCTGCCCATTAGAAAACAGCATGGATACACATAAACATAGAAGTCAAGAGAAGCTGCCCATTAGAAAACAGGATGGATACACATAAACATAGAAGTCAAGAGAAGCTGTCCATTAGAACACAGCATGGATACACATAAACATAGAATTCAAGAGAAGCTGTCCATTAGAAAACAGCATGGATACACATAAACATAGAAGTCAAGAGAAGCTGCCCATTAGAACACAGCATGGATACACATAAACATAGAAGTCAAGAGAAGCTGCCCATTAGAAAACAGCATGGATACACATAAACATAGAAGTCTAGAGAAGCTGTCCATTAGAAAACAGCATGGATACACATAAACATAGAAGTCAAGAGAAGCTGTCCATTAGAAAAAGTTTCTCTTTAATTTTTAAAAAACTTATAATTTGAAAAAAGCTTGTTAACAATCAAACTTATTATTGGATTGATATAATCAATGCAATGTACCAGAAGACAAAAGCAAAAAGAAACTAAATTATCTGTAGACGCAATTTCAAGTAACCCTCCATTAAAACAGGCATGTCTGATTCAAAAGGTACCCTGATCAATCATTACAATTTGAAAAGGTGAAAATTTATAATTTTGAGTATATTTTCTTGAAAAGGGACTTGCGGATTTTTGCTGAAGGAAAATGCGAGAATTTAACACTTTTTTTAAAAAGATTATTCAATAGAAATATCTGAACACTCCCTTTAATGGGACAGTGGTCTTAATTTTAAGGGACCCTTTATTAAAAAAGGGGCGTGTCGAATTCACATCGTTACCCTTTATGTGAGTAACAATGGTAATGATATCCTCGTCCCTTAAATGAGAGTTTCTAGGCACACTAGACCTGAATAGTGGAGAAACTGATAGCGGAGTCTGCACAATAAAGTCCAGCTGTTCTGGAATCACTGAAATATTATAAATGTAAATTATCCGAAAGAATAAGAACACATTTTAAATGTGCGAACTTCTAACTATCTAATGTACAATATGCAGTACAGTAACTGTACAGAGGCCGTTAATTAAAATCTGTAAGTCTTAATTCTTAAGTCTCAACTCTAAGTTAGAGGTCCAACTCAGTGAGTTTTGTCAAAGTAAATATCTGAATTAAAATTAGACATAGTTCTTAGAAACATTGGTCCCAACATATCTTTTATAATTTTATGGAAGCTCAGTCTCGACACAAATGTTCCAGAATTTTTCTCAGGTTAGTTTTTAGTCAGGGGGCGAGGGAAATTATTTTTTTAAATTAGG